AATGAGTGGCTCTTGAGGGAGGGAGTAGAGTTGATCAAATGTCCTTCCTGTCAACACCTCAACATTAGCCGTGCTAATAGGTGTTCGCGTTGTAAGGATAGAAGTGGGATTTGTATTTATAAACTTCTGATGGGAAAGGACATGCAACTTCTTGCAGATTGCGTGGCTGGGAATGAACGGAGCAGCGAGAACATACTTATGGCATCAACTATAGTAGAACAATTTCAGGCACTTTTGTCACAGCCAAGTTTAACTCTTTGTAGAGTCGTTCATATGTATGCAGATTTAGTTGCGAATACGCATGGCGTCGTTACTTCCGATCCATTATCAAATGTTGATGAGGAAATTGCTCACTTACAGCTGTAACCACTTCGTCCTCCTGTCGCCTTTCTTTACCTGAGACTCAAGCTGTTAGAGTTTTCGTGTGTGTGGAAAAATATAAATTTGGTTAAACTGGTTTCTATATTCAATTATTGGTCTGGAAACATAGGAACGAGTGAGGAATAACGTTTCCGTTTGTCCACCAGCCAGAGAACAAAGGAGATCATTCGATGTTAAGCAAGAAAGGATGAGTTGTAGTAAGTGGAGAGGAAGACGGAGGAAGACCGTAGTGTAACGTTGGCAGTTGCCCTCGGATGTCTACATGCCGGCAAGTGTATTCATGGCTAATATTCACGAGCCTACAACAACTTTGCATTTAGGATTCTTCTGTGTAGACATATGGTGTCTTTGTGGCTTTCCGTTGAATTTCTAAAGCCGTTTAGTAAATCAGTCAACTGAGTGGGTAAAAATAGGCTTTACGGTGAAGGTGGTTTGGTGTAAATTTAAAAGGGTGTGATTGGAGGGCTGGGTCAGGCAATGGGTCAATAAGTGCAAGGTAGTTAGGTGGTGGTGGTGGTAGGAAGGAGACGACTGTTGCTAAAAGAAAGCTGTTTAGTAGGACTGTTGGAGGAGTGAAAATGACATTCCAAAGTGCAATGGAAATGTCCTATGATGGTGGTGTTTTGTATGCGATGGGTGTAAATCGATTCTGAATATACGTGGATACTCGTGCCTTCTATGAAGTCCAAAACGGTGTCGAATTTTGGGGCTGAAATGAAGTGTCTGAAGATGAACCGCTGAAGGAATTGCTGTAGTTGTTTAGAACTTGGCGAGTCTTCTCATCTTATAAGAGGCTTTTTTCACTGATTATGGGGACACATACGACAGAAGGGTCGTTGGATATCCAATTGGGAAACACGACGAGTGATTGCAACAGTGGCATTTAAATGGAGTGATTTTAGATGCACAAGGAGGTCAAGTTGTGAGAAGTCACAGATAGGCGGAAATGTGAATGAAGTCGGAGACGACTCGAAGTTGCTTGTTAGTTGGTTCATCAGTTTGATGGCGACATTAAGGATGGAGATAAATACTCGAAGTACCATCAGTTTGGACAAAGATAATGGATGAGAAGAAGCTGTTTAATAGCCATTTAACCAGTTATTTGTGTTACTGTGCATAATTTCCACTGTCGATTGCGAAGCCGGCATTATCAACTCATTGTGGCTAATGAATAGTGAGAGATAAAGGCGTATTCCGTGTTGGCTAAGCTCTGAGAATGAGAAGAGTTAAAGGGGGTCGAATTGTGCTCTAGTGGAGGAAGGCGCTATACTTTGCGATTTGTTTTCTCAGGCCTTAAAGAGGTGAGGTCAGTAAAAGGTGAGAACTCTGACACAGGTGCTGTCAAGTAAAACACACATTGATCGAGAGAGAGTAATGAGGAGTTCACTGTTGAAAAAATGCAATTGGAGAAAATGGAGATGAGTGTGATGCATACACTAGTGCATGTTCACCTATTGAATGTTCCTATACGGCATTTGAACTTGACATGAATGGGGGAACACCTCTGTGAAGCTTTATACTCATTCACGGCAGTATCACCAAGTTGTTTCCAAATCTCATCTAGCTATGAGTGCTGTATTTGTGGAACCATCTTCTGCTCATTTCCTTAAGCAGACTTGAATTTGGAGTAATTATATGAAAGGTGGGCAACAGACACACACTACCACGCCAACTGTCCCATCTCTCCATTCCTCACCTACTCTTTTACGCTCAGTAGCATCACTTTCACCCCATTCCTTGCTAACCTTCTCTATTTCACTCCAACGTCTCTCTCCCCATCTCCCTTGGTTTATATTACCATTTGTTCAGAATTCCACTTTGACCTTTTTGCCTTTTTATGAACTATGATTCTGATGTATATGCTTCCACTCTTGCAGAACCACTTCCTACTTCTTTCCATATCAAGTTGTTGGCGGCTCCGAAACCGAAGTTCACGAAGTGAGCTTTCTCTTTGAACGCTTCTTCTTTTGAACTATTTCGAGTGTGCACAAATTTCTCTTACATTATCAAATTGTACCCACCAGACACGTGACTACCAGGGGATTGGAAATTTTCTAATTTTCCCACAACGTATCACATTTTGAACAAAAGTTCAATTGTTAGACAATTGACTTCCAATCAAATCGACTCACAGACTGACTGGCTGACTGAGTATTTTTACCAAATGCCTTTACATCTACTACTCTTTGGCAGGGAGAGAGAAGTCAACGAAAGACAATGAGTGAATAATAGAAAACCGAGAGTTCATTTGCTCTTTTATTTACCCTTTACAGTAATACTTTAGCATCTCAATTAACTAAAACTCATAATGAGCAAAGTCAGATAAAATGTACAAATTAAATAAAACAGCTAAATTTCATCTACATCTGTGAAAGGAAAGAATGTGTGAATGCGAATGGTAGAGGGGTTTCCACTCGTTCTGCAGGACTGGAGTAGGCAGGAAAGGAGCGTGGGCAGCTGAAGAGACCACTTTAGAATACTCCGAAGCAACCACAGTGGGTAAAGATCGAGTATTGGAGTTCCTACATTACCCAGACTAAAAGGCTGGAGAAAATGAGCTGCCACCGAATCAGCCACGTACTTCGGTAGGGGACGTGAGAATCCAAGCGAAGAATAGACTTCCACTCGTGATAGCCACGACACCCAGTTGGTTGCAAAAGCACTCACAGTGAGGTAGCGTAGAGTACTGGTTGATGGACAATTACTCGTTGAAATGGGCACTTGATAAAAGGGGGAGAGAGCTTGAAGAGGGCTCATCCATAGGACTCCAGTCATTTGTCCGCTTTTGCTCGCACTCCGCTTCATCAGATTTAGCAGTGGGGACAGTGGAGATAGTGACTAAGAATTCAAACACAGTAATGAATGCATTGTTGCAGTGAGTCTGCTTGGAGTAAGACCACTGACTTACCATGGGATCCAAGAGTACGAGGTTTTCAAGATGGGGATTCCGTGTGCAGTAGTTGCACACATCGTGAAGCAGACGACCTGCACTAGCTCGCCATGGAGGCACATGGATATGAACTGTAGTCAACTCCACTGATTGTTGTGGTGCGAATCGAATTGGCCACCTCGTTTGCAAAAATACACACTTCCAATTGGCATATACATCTTGATTCACGAAGTCAAAAATTAACTGTGTTAACCCATTGCAATAATTGCACTGCTTCATGGAAGGGCCACATTCAAACAAAAGAAAGAATAAATCGCCTTCACCTTGATCTTCGTTGTCATAACCCGTTGAAACCGAGGTAATTTCACACTCATCATCATTACTCTCTTTAACACAATTCGCCACCTCACACACCCCTTCGTACACGTTTTCAGTGTTGATCAATTCAACTAATGCGTTACCACTGCTAATATTCCCCTCGGAGTAGTTCTCAGAAAAGGGTGCAAAGTTTTCTTCTATTCTTTGCTCTATGGAAAACAGTCTATCAAACAGATAATCTGCACCTACACCGTCTGCCTTCGACCAAGGACAGAAGTCGGCAGTTAGACTCCTTGGAGTTGTCGGTTCCTGAAATAGCCCTGTTAGGTGATATTCACTCTGGGAGTTGGAACATATACTTTCACAACTGTCTGCAACTTCACAGTACGGCTTCCATTCAAATATCCTTGACCGTTGCCTAATCTCTGGATCAACTTGCAAATCGAAAGGCAAGCTTCCTTTGAAATTGTCCAAATATTTTAATCCGATTTCTTCAAAATGCCGCCGGTCACACAAGACTTCACAATAGTAAAACATTGACTTCTGCTCTGGAGAACCTGTGGGAGTTGGCTGCCATAGTTCAATTCTATGCATTCCCAATTCGAAGGGAAAATATGGTGGAAAATACTGTGAGGCATTATCACTGCGCCCGTAGGAAACATCGTCATCGGCAATTGGATTACGAAATTTCGCAAATGAGGGTATGGTATCCGAAGATGCTTCTGACCATACTTCTGACAGAGCTACATCGTTGGCCTAAAATAAACAATATTGTTAAACATTACCAGTCCTCTCTCTTTAATCCCCTACCCGCCCCCCCCCCACCTCCCCCACACCCCACTCCCACACAATCACTAACTCCGACTATTCTACTCTCATTGTCAATCACAGCGAGCTACAAAATTTACATTCAATTGTGCAATAACAAAGCCGTGAAATGGAATTATAGTGGTGGAGAGCGAGTGAGTTTAAGAATTTAAATAAGATAATCAATAATTCAAAGCAATCTCGGACTTAGGTCAAAAGCATTTCACTTCTCAGGTCCAGTTCACTGCATCTTGCTCTGATAGTTACTTTATCAAAATGTACCACCCACCCCCAAATGTGACCTCTCCTATCGAAGGAGATTTACACAATTTGCTCATCGACCACTTGGTCAATTGGGATAACTTTTCCACACTTTTACTACATTTCTACACCTATCTTCACAAGCTCCCTATCAACTCCTCACACCATACCACATTGGAGATTGGTGAATTTCAATAGCACCCGACCTTTCAACGCCTGATTGGTTTCCTGAAATCAATAGAGGAAGGAAGTGGAAAGGAATGTGTCGATCTTACAGTGGAACCTCTAAAATGAAGTCAACTCTTGCAATCTCACTCTCTTTAATACTCCAACGTACAGCCATCTTCTAATAAACGTAACTCCGCCAACTTTTTCGTCTACTTATAAGTGGTGTCACTCTGTTCCACTAACCATGTTTCCTTATCTCGAATTTTCCTCCAACCTTATCTCCATGATGTGGAGTTCGTTGGCATGAGAACTTTTCACCTTCTTCCTCTTTCACTTCTAACTTACTTTTCGTGTTTGTAATTAAAAATTGGAACAACAAAGTATAGTCAGCTAACATTCTAGTTCTTCATAATTCCCTCATGTTTTAGCATAAGTGAATGACAAGATTTCCATCTGAACACACCTCCTTTTCACCACTTTCCTTGTCTTCGAGAATATCAGGGCCTTCGTGAATCTCTTCTTTGGGCGGTGTCCATATGTACCCTTCCTTCACATCGTCAGCAGTGGGAAGGCAGTCGTTTTCTCGAGCCCAATCGCACCACGTTGTGTTCGGTGTGTAACTCTTCCCATCTACTGGCAAGCCAGCCAACAGTAGAGCTGATTTCGTTACTACAACCTCCTTTTCTACCCCTCCTTTAAAAAATTGAGGATGATCAATCACGTAAAGAATAGCCTTCACCAAGTCCAACAATCCGTAGCATCTGTAAATAGGGTTGAAATGTTACGAAGAAAGTAATTTCTGCTGACTTTAAAGCAATGCAAGAAAGAGAGTAGTTGCTTACGTTCGCCACTCCGTTAAAATACTAAGGCAAACGCTCCCAGTATAGACACTTATATTGGGATGGAAAATGGGGGTATCAAATGTTACTTCAGGAGGCTTCAATGGATAGCTTGAGGAACATGTTATCTAGAAAAAAGGACGAGAAAGGTGAGATCTTTAAGTAAGCAATACAGAGTTATACACTTTCAATTCTCTACACTTGGCATGTCCAGATGAAATGTGACTAGTTTGCGTCTGCAAAGTGTGGATCTCTTTCTAGCTCGAGATTTCGTGCCATATTGCACACCTAGTCTTCATTTTTATGCTTTCCAACTGCCTAGTTAATAGGGGGCTTTATACTTCTGAATTGAGTGTGAAGTCTCATTTGGCAAACACTTGTCAGGCCTTTAAAATGTGACATCTCTCCACTTCTAAATTCAAATAACCCTAAACAGTTTTCTTACAACAAACAATATTGTAAGTGCTTAAAAGATGAAGTTGTATTTGTCATGCAACTTATACATGAACCGTTGACTATGACAATGGTTTTGGATTAAATAATTGTATATTTCTATGAACTAAAATTATTGGCTAACCGAATTCCAATTCATTTCACAAGAATTTCGACGATATGTTGCTTTCAATTACCTGTCACTGACTTATTCTAACTGGCTTTGAGCTTATACAGCCGAAGTCGGTACCTATTATTGCCACAAAGGCAAAGTCATTCACATTCTCGATCTCTTCCAAACACCAATGCACTGTGGCTATTCAATTTGCATTATTGCACGAATTTACCTGGTGAAATTGCAAAAGGCTCATCATTGATTTTGTTATGAAGTTATTCCAATTACGGTTGATCCAATTAACTAGTGCACCCACGCAATGAGACGCCCACACTGCGGTTGCAATATTCATTATGAGCACACAAACGAGGAAGAAATAAACTCACCGTCATGTAGAAGGTGGCATGTGCGTTGCAACCAGTTTTGGGACAAAGGGAAATGCGCACTGACATGTCATTTATCGTTTCAATTGTAGCCTGACCGTCTGTCGACGAGTCGATGGTCCGGTAGAGATGTTGCACATCCTTGAAGAAGGAGCGTTGGGAAGTCAATGCCACAGCCATCCAGGAAGTTCTGAAAAGAAAAGTTGCTTCAATCTTCTCCACTTTGAAAGACATGCACAGTAAGAGATTAGCAGTTGATGATTGCCACGTGTCTTTAACCGAAAAGGCAACTATCATTAACGATTAAACCACAATCATTAAAGTCACTCCAGAAATATTGGTAGGCGAGTTGCAATAACTCAAGGAAAGTGGATTAGTAGGGTCAAGGACTGAATTGTTTTTTTAGTGTTTATTATGAACTTTGATCAACTGGAAACAAGGCCAATAGGTAAAGTAAAACTCGTCGCATCACCAAAGCAGAGAGCATGGCCGCTATGGACCAACTTTAAGGAGGGTGGGGGTGGGGGGGTGGTAGAGGATGGGAAAGCAGGTTGGGGAGGGTGAGTAGTGATTAGGATTATTGTTTCTTCTCACCCCTAAGGTCACATTCTATGGGCGTTTGTCATCACTGGTGCGTACGCAATCGATCTTAAGTTACAAAAACTGGCAGGGGGGCACAATGACTCAGTTCTTCAACTATCCCATGAGTAGACAGGATGCACATAAGGGGAAAGGATATCAAGCGATTTTCGAAATGAATTGTTTTCAGGTAAGAACAAAGTGTTGAAGTAGGAATGATGGCAAAATTGTGTTAAGGTGAGGTGAATTAAATTGGCAATTTTCATATGGGAATCTGAAACGATGAATAGCTCGAAACTGCTCAATTAAAATTTCACCATTACAGTTTCTCATCTCATAATTGATTCCGTACGTTACGAAAATAAAGTAGAGTGCATATATAATCTTACAGGGTAATTATAAGATGATGCCGAGAACCTGTTTGGAGTTTCTCTATTTACATACTCTTCTATATTCGAGCGTGCGATTTCAAGGTCACGCATAACTGCCATAAGTTCTTTCGAGTTGGCAAATATTGAGCAATTGGAGGAGCTCACATAAGCAAGGCTGCCCCTACCCACTCATTGTTTTGCAGTGCTTTTGGGAAATTAAAGCATCCATGTTAGTTAATTTTAGATCATGTGTCAGAAGAAAGAGACACACTGCTGGAACAAATTGTATCGTGTGCAAAGGGGCATTAGCAGCCGGTATGCTAATGGTCTTGTGTTTTAATTAGCCAATCAGAAAGGTTGCAGGCACTTAAGTAAGTGCTCATTCATCACATTTATAAGGGGGTGAAGAAATTGATGATTCGCATCGTGCATTCTAGATTTCCTCTGCAGTTGAGTATTTTTCTTTTGCAGTCCTTAAGCGAAGAAACTCGGGCTTTGTAAAGTATCGATTCGAATTATCGTATTAGCGTCATTAACTAGCTCAATTATATTAATTAATGCAGCTTTCTACTCTACTGAAAGCATTGCTGCAATTAAGGAAGCATATGCATAATCAATAGAAGTAAACCTGAAACTACTTGAATAAGACTAAAATGTGGCTACCTGTGAAGGTGTCGGAGGCAGGAGCCAAAGCAATGTTTTGGCAGAGATTGCAATCACTTACACAATGTTCACAATAGGATTCTCTCCACATGTGACCCATTAACTGAGGCCCCTATTGTAATGGTGGCTGCTTTGATGCATTATGCTCTGTTCGTAATTCCAGAGAAAAAGAAAGCAGGCTAAATTGACTTGTTGCATGGACCAATAAAAAGCGCCCCCCCCCTTCATCCCGACCTTGAGGGACCATATTGTCTCTTGAAGGCTATTGGCAAACTACTGTTCAATTGGTACTTAATTTCTACTTTAAAATACTGTCCCCGATCAGATAATTCTAAATGAATTCCTCAAAATGGTCATGAAATACGGTAAAAATGAATAGTTTCAAGAAAGTTACCTAGTTTTGGGGGGCAAGAAACAATTTATTAATTCGACACGACCTCATTACATTTTGTTAAATCGCCCTCAGTATTCCATGACAGGACAATCTGGACATTGATGTGGAGACCAAGAAATACGAATCATAACCAAAATCATTTTTGCATTGAGGTTACAGCACTTGTGAAGTCGAAACGGATTCGATTGAATATTCTCCTTTGCATTAAATCATTCTAACTGAACCCATCCAATTTCAAGAATGTTGTTTTTCAGGGATTATTAGAAAAATGACCGGTGAAAATAGGAAAATGACTTAGTTCGAGTATTTAATGGAGTTAGAATATCAAGATTTGACGTCACCTCAAAGACAGGCAAATTGTGTTATACACTATCTCACTTTCTAATTTTGAACCATGGAATTATTAATCGTATAACTCAGCATCTGTCGATGATTGGTTATAATTGAATAGTTGTTCATATCATTGTGTCTCTTCTTCTTGCCAACTGGTAGAATTTGGCTGAGACTGACCAACTTTTAGAGAATTAACGAATTCAACCTTTTGATTCAAAGTGAGCTCTAACAAAGAACACAATGTGATGGCACTTTACTATTGGAAAGTTTTGAAAACTAGTCACAGTTTTCAACTTGCAATTTTTCACTTGCATCACTGTGTAAAGGGTGAAATCTTAATTTGAGAAATAAAATGTTCTTTAAAAATTTCAACCATCATTACAAAAT